ATCAATCAAGTGATGTTTCTGTTTTCATTCATGACTGAGTTGTTGCTTGTCGATCACACAATTTAATCAGTTTTGTTGAATGTCCAACCTCGGACCATGACACATTCCGCCACGATCTATCACTAGTTATCACATCTACACATTTGGCATCTACGCACAAACGAAAATAAGTTGATGGGTTCGAATCATCGGGCCTGTCCTCGTTCATCCTTTTCTTGAAAGTAGGGTAACACGATAAAGCTTCAACATTGACTGACTTGATGTAATCAAGCACATCACCGCCACGCATTTAGTGGCATTGCTGACATTAAATATTCTTTTACGAACTATGAGCTGAAATTTACGATTTGCCAGAAGGCTTCGAACCATCAGTTACTTTAGAAGACGTTTTCAATGCAGTTGACGCAACATTTCTTACAAATTTTATAACCAAAATAAAATCTCCATTGTCAGTAACGGCTTTTGATTTTTATAAGGTGGGTTATCATTAATGCTGCCAACACTGTTTTTAGCAGCCATGTTGTTTCATACATTAATGTAATTAGACTAGGCTTTTTTATCGGTTGTTGTGCAGCCGTTTTCTATATATCACTCGGCGAGTCGTATTCAACTGATTTGTTAACCAGTTGTTCGTTCGTTCTTAATTCATTCAAAACGTCGCCATTTTTATTCAATATATCCAATATTGGCTCCATGTTTTTCGGAACCGCTTGAAGAGTTCTTATACCCTCAGACTTTACAATTTCATCAAAACCCATAGTAACAAACTTAGGAAAATTATTTTCAAAGTCACTATCAAAAATAAACTGTATAGTGTATACCAGTAAGCATTTGAGTTTTATCAACAGTATTTGTTTTTAATCCTGACAAACCGATTGAAACTTTTTCAGCTTCTTCTAACAAAATTTTTCTGCTGGCAACAATATCTTGAACCCAAAAACCATCAATCAGACCACTTTTCAAAAATTCATCGATAGTTAAACAATCCAAATACCGATATTAATTTGTCAACAATAAATTCGTCAGACATTTTTCAAGGCAGCAACCAAAGATCATCGTATATATATATATATATATATATATATATATATATATATATATATACATATATATATATATATATATATATATATATATATATTGAATTGAATTTTATTTAGCAGAACACAGGAGACTAAGATACGGATGTATGTGCAAGCCACCTTAACTAATATTGCGTCGAAATATAAGATATATATATATATACATATATATATTTATATATTTATATATATATATATATATATATATAAAGCATCGGGCATCGCTCATTAAATTTCTTATCAGTATTTTTATTATTTGTTAATATTATAACATTTAATTATGATTCATGTTAAAGAATGGTGTTCCGAACATTAAATTATTGAGTGACGTGTAAAATAGGGTACTTTTAGAGATTGTATCATTTCAAGTTTTTATACGTGACGTGCAGACCAATGTTAAAGATACTCTTTTGAGACAAACATTTCGCAGAATATGGTTGATTTGGAAATGGATTAAAGAGAATGAGGTGAAAACTAATTTATGACCTGAATCAAAATGAATAATGATTTTTATTGCTACTCAGTTATAGGCGTGGCTTCAGTATTTTTCATCATTCTCTTGGTCATAGTGGTGTGGTGTGCAATCTACTGCAAAAGGAAAGCAAAAAGAAAAATAAAAAGAGATCAAGGTCTGTTTGGTGGTTGTCTTTTGGAAACTTTTATTTGCCATTTTGAAATTTAGGTCCTCAATTACATTTTTTAAATTTATTATTTATGATAAATTTTAAAATTTTAATTAGTTCAGTTTTATTAAAATTTTATTAATGTATCATTATTATTTACTATTATTATTCTGTTCGTTATTTGAAAATTTAAACATAATCAAATTTACTAATACGTTGTTGAAATTTTAAGATTTGTATTTCTTAATGTTTTCTTTGTAGTCACATTTCTTGGAAACCATAAGAGTAATGGAATGATGTAATGTATAGTGTATATAATTGTTGATTGATGTAACTACAGTTTTGTTAGCCAAAAAATGTTGAATGTGATTTTTAAAATTTCTTCAAATGAATAATTTTAAAATATCTCTACTGAGGTAGTTGAAATTTCAAGATTGGGGAGAAAGTCTGATGAAGAAAAATCAAGAATCGTTCTAGTTCAGTTTTCTAATTATACTGTTAAAAATCTCATCCTAAACAACTGCGCCAAGCTGAAAAAATCCTTGAATTTTAATAAAGTCATCATCAACCATGACCTTTCAAGGGAAGATAGAATAAGTAACAGGAAGATTTTGGAAGAGAAAAAAAAAAGAAGTTGGTGAAAAAGATGATGTATCAAAGTGGTCATTCAGACTGAAGGGGGTGCCAGGAGACTTTTATGTTATTGCTTTCAAGAAGCAAAATTTACTAAAGTAAAAAATTCAAGTTGCAATAATAGTAATAATTTAAGTGTCATTATGACTAATGTTGACTCAATAACAAACAAATTTTTTGATCTAAAAATTTTTCTACAAAGTTTGGATGTTGCACCTGATCTAATTGCTTTGAGTGAAGTTAATCCTAAAAATTTCAATCAATGTAGAGTTTTATCAGAGTTCTGTCTGGATGATTACTCAATCATTTCTTCTGGTTTTGCTGAACAACACAGAAGAGGTTTAATGTTGTTTTGTAAGAGATCATTACTATTAACTGAAATAAATTTAAATTCATCATTCAAAGAGTACATAATAGTTAAACTATGTGTTTCCAATAGAGTTTTAAATATTTTCTTTGTTTATAGAAGTCCAAACTTTAATGTTGGAAATAATGATCTTTTGCTGAAGTTGATAAATGATGTGCTGGCATTACCTGGTGAAACCCTATTGTTTGGGGACTTTAATTTTCCTGACATTAACTGGGACACGTCCAGTTTTGAAGGTAATGATGAGAGGGTTGAAAACAGATTTTTGAATCTTCTTAAAGATAAATTTTTAATACAACACATCAATCATCCAACGAGATTTAGAGATGATCAGACATCAAGTATCCTGGATCTGGTGATTTCATCCCAGAAATTTATAAATAACATCATACATTACCCACCTCTAGGTAACAGTGATCACTCAATTTTGGAATTCAAGGTGACTGGTTTTTGTTGTTCAGCCATGGAATGTGATAAAAAGTATTGTTTTGATTTGGGTGATTATATAAATTTTAGAAATGTACTGGGGGTCTCCTTGCAGGTTCCTTCTTCTTGGTGTGGTGATGCAGAGGATAATTGGAAATTTTTCAGGGACCAATTAGTTACTTGTTCTCAAAAGTTTGTTCCGATGAAAAGAAGAAGAATATATTGCAATTTTAAAATAAATGAAGAACTAAAATCTCTTATTAAACAAAAGCATTTGATTTGGAGATCAATTTACAGATACGGTGAAGACAAAATGGACAAATATCGTTCAATCAGAAATGAGATAAAGAGACTCGCCAGTGCCTTGAAAAATCAATATCAGGAATCTATTGCAAGAAATTTCAACAGAAATCCAAAAGTGTTTTGGAATCACGTAAAAAAAATCACTAGGAGTCATGAGGCTATTGGTACTCTGTCAATTGTCTTTTCCGTTTATGAATTGGATTCAAATTTTGAGAGCCAATTTTGTGCTATAATTGGAAATTCCTATCCGACTATGGACGATTTATCTATTGATGAAAATATGATTCTTTCTCAATTGAAACAACTAGTGACAAGCAAATCAGCGGGACCGGATGAAATTCATTCCAGAATTTTATGGGAAATGAAAGATTTTGTTTCTAAAGGTTTGTGCAGAATTTTTCAACGTTCATTTGATGAAAGTGTGGTATTTGATGATTGGAGAATTAGTCACGTTGTTCCCTTGCACAAAAAAGGACGCAAAGATTTAGTTCAGAATTATCGTCCAATTGCGCTTACATCAATTTGCTGTAAGATTCTGGAGTCATTAATAAAAAATCACATTATGGATTATTTTCTGAAAAATAATTTGTTTTCAAGTAATCAATTTGGCTTCATCCCAGGTCGTTCAACGGTTTTGAATTTTTTGAAATTTTTGGACGTGGTGACTGAGGGAGTAGATCGTGGTTACCAGGTTTGTGTGGCGTACTTGGACCTCGAAAAGGCGTTCGATAAAGTATCCCATAGTCGTTTGTTGTTCAAGCTTGAGCAGTATGGTGTGAATCATAAGATAGTAAAGTGGATTGATAAATATCTTCAGGGCAGGGTATTTCAAGTCAAGTTAAACAACACTTTATCGAAACCAAGACCTGTCTTGAGTGGAGTCCCTCAGGGTGGTGTTCTAAGTCCTCTGCTATTTCTCATCTATATTAATGACGTTTCTTTCATTTGTGATAGTATGTTCCTTTTCGCTGATGACGCAAAATTATTTAAAGTAATAAAGTGTGAGGAAGATAAAATAAATTTTTTGAAAGGTTTTGTGAACATGATGAATTGGTTTAAAACTTGGAGTCTACCTCCAAGTCAGCTTGAGCAACAAATGTCAGCTCCTAAGAATAGGATCGAATAAACCAAGCCCGCCATTTACTATACTAGATGATGATGGTTTGACGTTTCAGTTACCTGAGGTTGAGAAAGTATCTGATCTGGGGGTTATTATTGACAGCAAGTTGAAGTTTAAAAATCATGTGCTAAAGGTAGTTCATAGAGCAAATAATATGCTTGGAATTATTGCCAGAAATTTCAAACACCTTTCCGAGGCAGCATTTGTAACCTTGTTTAAGTCATTGGTTCGTTCACACCTAGAGTACGGCGTACAAGTATTGCATCCTTATAGAATTGGTTTGATAGATGAAACTGAAAAGGTTCAGAGAAGAGCTACGAGAACAGTGAATTCTTGCAAGAAACTTCCATATGAAAATAGATTAAAGAAACTTAATTTGCCCCTCTCTTGCCTACAGGCGTCGTAGAGCTGATCTCATATTGCTGTATAGAATAATCCATGGGGAAATTATGGAGGATATCAGTCCAAGGGTAATGTTCTCTTGTTATGATCGAACTCGAGGTCACAATCTGAAGTTAACTACAGGTGCTTGCCACAAAGACAGTAGGAAGTATTTCTTTTCTAACAGATCAGTTGATGATTGGAACAAATTGCCCTCAGCTGCTGTAAATTCATCCTCTCTATGTGGTTTTAAATCGGCAATAGACAATTTTTTGGAGATGTCATGTTTGATTGGAGGCCTAATTTCTGATAATTTCTGATAATCTCAATAATATTGTGTCTTTTGTTTATTTTCCTATATTTATAAATTTAAATTTTCGTTGACTCAAATTTTTATATTCTCTGTTAAAAATCCCTTTGTTTCGGTTCGTCTTCAATTTTGGCTTTTTATTATATTTGCGATTGTATTAACTAGACAGATTTTGTTGTTGATTTAATTTCCTGTTTGATTGCCACTGTAATGACTTTGTTAAACATCTAATGAAGCTAACTCATTTAATTTTATAATGACAATTTGATTTTTATCTTAATCAGTTTTTAATTTTTAAGGGTTTATTTTTGTTACTTTTGATTTTTCGATTTTTATTTGGTTGGCAATGGGCTATGCCCGAGCTATTTCTAATAATAATAATAATAAACTTAACACAGTTACCAAGAATATTTCAGAAAATGTTATTGACCGCCAACTGAACAATTACAATGAGGTGATCGAATTCGATCTACTGAACCACGGCCAGCCGCCAGAGCCACAGCCCCAAAATCAACAGCAGCCTCTTCTGCTAGCAAATCAACCGCAAAATGATGACGACTCTTTGAGCACGAGATCAAGTGACAGCGGAATGTTAGTTTTCAATTCATTCTTCATTTTCGTCGTTAACTTTATACCTAATTCAACTTTTTAATTTTTGTTAACCATGAAAAGAAAAGTTTAATTTTTTTCTAATCTGAACAATTCAAAAAAAAATTCATTTTTTTTTATTAGAATTCAAATTTCATATATGACGAAAAATGTAATTGTTGCTCAGCGTTTTTCCTCACACCGTAATTTTTTGGTTCGTCTGTTCGTCAGAGAATATTAAAAAATATTAAAAAAAACACTTCTCGCTGTGAGGCACCCGCCGAATTAGTTTTGTACATTGTAGTTTCTTCATAGCAATTTAATTCGTTTTCCTAAATTCTATAATAATTAGAAATGTGTGAGAGTTGGCTTGGTGTAACTTTTTTCACAAACAACATTCCAAGTTAATGTTCAAATTTTTGGCCGCGAACTTTTTTTTAATTTCAATTCAACTAGATACAACTATGCGATATTTTAATTATACAAAAAAATTATTGATGGAAGACCGCTGCGTTAAAAATGTTCAGTCACAAAATCCTTTTTCTACCGCAAGGTGATAACAAAAATTCTTCTACCGCTGAAGATAACAGATCAGCCATCGTTTTCGTAGAAACCAGTTCAAAATGAAATGATAATAAAAACAATTATTATTTCGCAACTTTAAATTCAGTCATTAGTTTAATCCTCGGTAATTCTTGCAAGTTTTAAACGTACGACACACGCAGTGCATCATATTTGGATACGTGCTAATCGTACACGTGTGCGTTTGAAGGAGATTCTTTCAATCAAACCTGATCCTTCTGAAAGGCAAGATCAAGCGCACTACCACCACGACCTATATATTGATGTAATAATGATAATGCTTAACATAGTAATGAGGTAACTCATAAAGTCATAAATAATGTGAAATACAGTTCCGACCCTACCCAGGAACCTCTGATGTTGTTCGAGGACGAGCCGCAGTACGGCAACATCGGCAGGAGGATGAACGCGGCAAACATGGAGAACGACGACAGGAGTAAGAGTGGCAGCGATCAAACGATACCAGATCAGAATGAACAGGAATATCATGTTTTTGACATGGTCGTGTGAACAGTGTACATAACATACGTGTGCTTGTGAATGCGTGTGGTGTTGGTGTGGAGTCACAAACTTAGTGCATTACGGATATCCTGTGACGGCAATAGGAACAAATTTTATACGATGAAATTTTTGTACGGTGATAATTCAAGTGTAACTAAGTTTTTGCCTCATTTACATCTACGATGACATAATATTTTTACACTTTTATTTATTAATTGATGTCATCGCGTTTATAATTATTATATTTGTCGTCACGTTTGTTGTTCATTCTCGTTTAAGACACTCTATACAGCTCAATGTCTCTTCAGTTTGCCTGATGTATCCAATTCAACACAAACTTCAACTGCCACTTTCATAGTTTATGCTATTCTCTTGATTGATTGACTGACTGACTGACTGACTGACTGACTGACTGACTGACTGACTGACTGACTGACTGACTGACTGACTGACTGACTGACTGACTGACTGACTGACTGACTGACTGACTGACTGACTGACTGACTGACTGACTGACTGACTGACTGACTGACTGACTGACTGACTGACTGACTGACTGACTGACTGACTGACTGACTGACTGACTGACTGACTGACTGACTGACTGACTGACTGACTGACTGACTGACTGTTGGTCATCGATATCTAAACAAGCTCTTAGTAGGCTGCTTATTGATATTCACCCACTTCTTAATTGTTGATTAATGTCTACGCAAATTTTTGTCTACCTCAACATCTTTTGCAACACGGGCCAACAATTGCTTGCCATCAAATAATTATTAAATTTCAACTCAAACTTGTCTTCAGAAGCACACGCTATTCTCTTCAGTTACGGAACATATCCTAAAATTCAAATCGTTTCATAATTCGTAATTAAAAATTTTTTGTTTCTATATTTCAACTTTGTTTATAAATATCCAAATTGAATCTGTCGAGACATTTAATTTTATCAAGCACAATACGCTGCTGAAATATATATTATTAAATACAGTTTCAAGAGTCAACAACAAAGAACTAATTAACATTATGTGAAGTGGTCGGTTCCAAGAACAGCATAGATATGCTAATTTCATTTGTTTACATCCTTTTTGTAATCAAAAAAAAGTTGATTGAGCGATATTATAAGAAAGATTATAAGAAAGAGTCATCAATACACTCATCATAATAAAAATTTTCAATTGAAAAAACAGAAAGTAAAAATAGAACAAATTGTATGTCATTTGTGCTCTGCCGTCAAATGTGGTGTACCTTTACTTTTGTACAATATTTTTCAACCTTTTGTTATTAATAATCAAAGTTAAAAATTAATTTATTTATATGAATAAAAGTTGTTCATCAACTTTTATTCATATAAAAAAAATTTTTGCATCACAAATACCGAGAAAATATTTTCGAAATAATGCAAAAATATCACTTCATTTTCAGCTTGATGATACCATCCAATTGAATGTATCACATCATTGTATTGAATATATAATATTGATATGTTCCCTTAACAACAACAATGGTACCTGCTTTCTTTTGCTGAATGTCAACGTTCGAAATTTTTACAAGCTTCTTGGTTCGTTGCTTTCATTCAATGTAAAAATTAATCCAAGTGCATTTGAACATAAATTAAGAAAAAATTATGCGTATTGAATATTCATATTACATATTTGCCTTTGTGTGTTTGTAAATAATGCTCCGAAGTTGTTGTGTTTGCCTTCATTTGTTTCATAATAACCTGTAAGCTGAGAGTTTATAAAAATTTGTATTAAAAATGTAAGAAATTGAAGAATTTCGAAGAAAACATCTGATATTTGATGATTGAACTGACTACTGTGCGTTCAATTGTATTTTTAATGTATTTTACTTTTTAATATTTCTAACAACATCCAACAAACTTTCTGCTGACATGAAAACAACGCCGCTTAGACCTATCGTAAAAATTTATTTTTGTCAAGATTCAATCAGTGGAATTTATAAAATTTATGAAAATTATCGTTGATTATTTATTTTGAAACATTTTATAATTTATTCAACAGCAGTAAAAGTGTAAAAAGAAATAACAATAATTCATTCAGAAAATGTAATTTCTGAAAAGATTTCTCAAAACATTCTGTAGACCTAATGATTCGTCCCGGATGATAGAAACTGTAAATGCACAAATATAAGAATATTATTTGGAATGAGGTTTTCGGATAGACATGTTTGGTTGGATACCTACTACCCCTATTCAGTGTTTAAAAGTTTTCTAGTCAGAACTTCGACAAGTCGGAGTTGTCTAGATTCAGTTCTATTCATGAATTTAATCTCGGCTTTCGGCTGTTTTGGCTATTGCAATCATCGAAGTCTAAGTTAGCTTATAAAAACGCTGATGTAAATAACTAAATTAGAATCATAATTCATAAATATAAGAATTTAATCTTCTTCGTCGTATTCTCAGCACATCTCTGGGAACAAGCGTGTATTTATTCTTACTATTAAGATATTTATAAGGTGCCTTCTACAATTAAATTTCTCGAAAGCGTTTTAAATTGAAATTACCGACTTAAAATTCCAAGCACCATCGTTCTCCCAGGGCGGTTGAAAAAAGAGACATCATTTGACGTTGCTGCTGCTGTTGATAAACCATTCTCTGATCCCCACCTGCTCAGGCCACGAAGCATCGACGCAGTCTCAGTAAGTGAAGTAGACGGTTGGCTGCTGTCAGATTTGGATTCTTTTTTGAACGAGGAGTAACAGGACGTTCGATAACATCTAATGTGCATATTTTGCCACACTACTAACGTGTTGAAATTTTTTCACCCCGGATAATCTTGCTCGCCGTCTGTTTCGAGTCGTTCGGTAAATTCGATCCAACGATGATTTTTTATCAAATTGATTTGCGTAAAACTGTCAAAGTTCTTTGTTCTCTCTACGCTTGGTTTATCAATATATGATTTAATTAATACCTACTACTCGCTGGGAAATTATATAAATTTAATTAATCAAAAAACAGATTTGAACCTGTATTTTCACAAAAAAAAATGCAACAACTTGATGAGAAAATTAATGCGAAAAAATGAATGTTTAAAGATTTGCATTGCTGAAAAACTTTCATAGGTGAGTAGTGTTGTTATTTGGGCAAATAAACTTTCCCGCATCGAAACAAAACAATGCGTGCTACGTACTACGTACCGCAATGAATATAGAGTTTGCAAACAGCACGTATGTATGATAAGCATTATTAAAAAATAATTTATAGTAACATTTTTTTAAACAAATTTTTAGGGGCCAATGCAGTGAAACTCAAAATTTTATCCTTTGCTCATTCACTCAAATAATAGCTAATCTGTTGGAAACTATGGAAAAATTCAGTAAGGAAAAACAAAACCGGACATAAATTAATCAACAGTTACCAAAAATTACAAATCATAGATTTTTTCTCGCTTGGAACATCGAATGCTCAGAATACATGCAGAGGACATAGGTATATGACGATGACCACGCATTTCAACATCATCATCATCAGTAAGCAGAACCTTTATTGTAATGGGATAAAATATTATGAAACATTACATTGCATTTGTAGCAAAACATTTTTGCGCGGACCTCCACCATCCCAATTTCTCTTCAGACTAGTTATTGTATATATATATATATATATATATATGCAAATTTCATTGAAATTGTTTGCCCATTTTGCATTAATTAACTTCTTTATAAGACATTCAACGAGGCGGTATTGTTTGAGTTCATATTTATCTAAAACTGGAATAAAGCTAACAGCGCTGTTTCGGCGTAATGCCATCTTCAGAGCATGCCATCTTCTAAAGTGTTGTAAAACATTTAGAAGAATATGATGCTATCGATGAAGAAAAGGAGACCAAAAAAGATGACCAGCCAATAAAGAAACCTGACACCTAATTCGCATCTAAGTTCAATTTTACAACACCAAAGTTAATTTTTACAACGTCAAAGTTCATCTTGACAAAGTCAATATTTCCCTATATATACAGCAAGGAGCACTGATGATGATTCATTCGGAATCGAAATATGGCCTTATTTGCAGCATGAATTCGAAAAATAAGTTTATTTTGAATTTTAATAAACTAAACGTTCACCAAAAAACTTTAGTGAGAAAAATCGAAAAAACGAACTACAAACATATTAACGCCAAACATTCTGTAGAATTTATAGAATATTGTAAAAATTATGGTCTATTACCAACAAATGTATATATATATACACACACACACACACACATATATATATATATACATACATACATATATGCGTGTGTATATAAAATTAGAAAAGTAACCCTCTAGATAGGACAAACAAATGATACCCAAACAAATTCAGTAAGAAATATTTACATTTTTTCACAAAATATAAATATATATTTATATTAAACAACCATATTTATATATCCGGAAAGAAATAAGTCATAAATAAACGTACGACTTTAATTATCAATTCTGTTCAATAATTCAGATTTGATGTACGAATTGCCGACATGACTCAAGTTCAAACTGACCAGATCCTTCAGAACATTCTGATCATACGAAAACTGCAAAATTGACGAAGGGGCAAGGTCAAGCTCCGCCAGCGTTTTATCATCTTCAGTTATCTTCCCGCTAACTTGTGTGCTCAGATGGAATGGTATCGAGTCATTTTCCAAACACCCTAAAACGAAATGACGAACTTCCAAAAATTTTTCTGAGACCCTGAATGTTCCTTGGATGGCATAATTGTCTGGAAACTTTATCCTTATAGCTGTAAATCGATAACGTCTGAGTTCTTTCATTTTTATTCGTTCCCTCATCTGCTTCGTTTGCAACATCCCCATCTCCTTGATGGCCTCCTCTCTAATTTTCATCTCTCTTTTCAACTCTTCGGGAGTGACGTTGAAGAAATCTTCAGACACTTCAATTTTATTTGAAGAACTTGCCAATATTTTTGGAGAAAATATTTTCAAATCCCGGTAGACTTCCATTGTAACAGGTTCACAAACTTGAAGAAGTTCCAACAAACTTCTCAATTTCTCCACGAGCTCATCTTGGTTGTCTGGATCAACCTCAAGATGAAAGAATTCATCTTCCTCATCAGACTCCTCGTTAACTTTCATTTTTTTCAGCTGGAAACCAGTGGCTTGAAGAAACTCCAGAGCTCCTTTGCAGTTGAGGACTTTTTCATTCAATGCTTTATTCGACTTCCTGATTTGTCTGAAATTTGGTTTATTAGGATTTTCAAGAACATTATTGAGATATTTACTTAGTGTTTCGATGCAAGTTTTTAAGATGTCTTTGTTTCTGTTGAATGTGTAAATCATCATGGCCGAAGTTAGTTCAGGTTCGTCTAAGAGATGTGAGTACAAGTACTCCTCTATCTTCTTCTCCATGTCAGCTTTCATGAGGGGCTCATCAATGTTCAACATGGGGCACGTGAAGAAAACTCCTGTAACCACTGATGGTGACTCCAGTGTGACCTGAGGAAGTGGTCATCAAACTGGATGATTGGCATTCAAAAATCTCTTCATATCTCATTTTTAATTCAAACATTTTAAATTTTAATTAAAATCATCTATTATAATAATGATGAATTATTGGCATTAGTCTGTTTGTAACTCGTCTTTCAATGTCTCCTATTAAGATTTCACGAAAGTTGTCAGTTTATTAAAGATTGAAACAAAATTATTGTTTAAAATCAAAGTATCAAAAAATACAAAAAATTAAATAATTAAAACTTTCAGAATCGTACTTTTGCTGGAGCCTGATACTTGCTTGCTTGGGCTACAGCCATCTCCATCTCCCTCTTCTCTGCAAGCAGTTCAGCTTTCATTGTCCTCGCAGGCTTCACATAACCTCTGCTCTCTGCATCACAACACCATCACAACTTCAATTTAAAGTTGCCAAATGTAATAATATGTAAAAAATTAATAGATTCCCAAATGCAAGTTACAATGAAAGAAAATATTCATTTGCTAGATGAAAAATTGAGTAATTATATTGGCGGGAAAACAAGGGCATGTTTTTGAATCAAGATTTTAATATATCACGAAATTGATTTAATAAATTGATTTAATTATAACTGCAATTAGAGACTAATTCAAACGACTCAATAATGATTTTGTCAATAAAAATTTATTTAACATCTCAATGATGATTAACAATTAATGATACATTCTGTGATTCCCATCCAATGATCATTTTAATGATTAAAAACTGATTTTTCCTTTTCATTTGAAAAAAATTTAAGTTTTATACAAAATTGGCTCTCCAGCGCATATTCATTTTATATCTTCCATCAGTATTTCAACAAATTGCTTCAGTTGATCTCCCTTAATTCTTTGATGATATTTGTGCATAAACTTAAGATATCAAGTTAATCAACTGAATGGTTCATAGAATTTTTATATAGCGACAATAATTTCTCAACTATAAGCTGTTCAAATACACAGGTTGAATTCTTAATTAGAATTTAGAATGTGAGGGTGTTTCAGACACACCAACCATGCACGCACATGTCTGCGCTATGTTTCAACAGCTTTTAAAGCAGAACTCAAGTTGAATAGTTTTCCATCACAACACTTAAATTATTAAAACGACATGTATCAAATAAGTTTGAATTTTACATTTAAAGTTAAGTGTTTTTTTAAACTAAACGAATGTATTTTATTAAAGTGTTTAACTTTAATTCAAATGTCGAAGGCCGTGTCAGTAAAACAATTTATGAAAAGAAGCCAATTTTGAATATTATCAATTTTTTTTTTCATTCTCATTTTATTAATTTACTGATTGGACATTAATAAAAGGATTTTTTCTTTATTGCAACTAAAAAAAATATAACAATAGAAACCGTATTCTTTTTTGAGATTCAGTCGAGCGATAGCAGCATCAGCAGCACTTTTCCTTTCATCGGAAATCATTGTTGTCATCGTTCCATCATTCGAGGTCGACCTGGTTGGGCTGCTGACATCTTTGTTTTCTGAACTGCAGGCTGCCTGTGCTGTGTTGGCATCTGTCAGTTTGTGACCCCCACCAGCCTTTTTAAACTTAAAGTCGAGTTTGCGATTTTCAAAAAATTTTTTTATTGCAGACATGCTTTTGTATTTAAGTTGAGTTGAATGAGATCCAGGTAAAGCAGCTTATACTTATATGTAGGTGGATATCAGAATCAATCAGCCGGAAGTTGAAAGAGGACCTTTTCATTTAAATAAAAAACATGTAATTTATTCAAAAATCAACTTAATTTTAATTCAACTCAACAATTCATTTCCAAAAAAAACTTTAGGAGTTACTAAAAATATTAATTAATTAAAATTTAAATTGATATTATAATTAAAAGACATGAATACAAAGTTTACAAATGAAATGTAAATAATTAATTAAAGTATTTCAAAATAATTAAAGCAGATGATAACATAACAAAATAAAAATTTGTGAATATTCGCACAAATTAATTATTAAAATTATGGCAAATTAGCATTAAATATTTAAATTTATTTTTACAAATAAATAACAATCAAATTATTTAATTAATTAATAATAATTAATTTTAATTAATTAGAAACCCAGGACCTTGATGAGAGATGAGAAGGTGTGAACAGGTTCAAGCAACTAGTTATTTTTAATTTTATTTTTTATTAGTACATTTTTTTAATTTAAGGCAAAATAAAAATAATATAATGATAACGAAAGAGATTAGATTAAAAAATAGTAGGATAATGAAATGATTATTAAAATTTAAATTCAAATCAATATTCAGATATTATCTATTATTGCATTATTACTAATTACTCACTTTAAATTTTTAAAACAGATTACAGAAAAAAGAACGTTGGATATATATTTATTCTATATTATGTCATAACTTGCTAACGGTTGGCGTGGTGGTAGGTGGGGGTCCTTCCCAGAGTTTCTGAGAGCGGCCAGTAACCGAATTCTATTTAATTTTTAATCTTTTATTTACGGTCTGAAACCAAAATTCTAGCATTTGTTTACATAGTAATGAAACTAAAAATCTACTAAAAATATTTCTAAGTTATATTTTTTGTCCATTTTCAATTTAAGTTTTATTATTCTTCGAATAACTTTTAAAGGTAATCGAGTACTTAAACTGATGAAGGAAGTTACCACACCATTACCACCGTGTGTCACGCGTTTGCTGATGATATTCAGGTACTGGTCAAATTTGAGGTTGACAGACTTATCAGATTATGTTTTTCAATTTTGAATTTTATTTTAAATTTTGCAAGCAGAAAAATATTAAATACGTATGAAGTACGTACATAGACAAAACCCCGACTAACAATTACAATGGCAGCATGCGTTCAAAAATGTAAGGGTAAACTCAATTAAACTCAATACATGGTTTAAAAAATATACAATCTTCGTTATCGTTCTCATTGTTCTCGCTATACTATAAAATTTATGAAAAACGTCAACGGATGAACGACGCAACAAACCAATATCCTCTTTATCACCATCGTCATCCTCTCCATCATCTTTTTTCCATCATCGCTCTCATCGTTTTTGTCCTCATCTACTCACTTATCCGCATATTATTCCTCACAAAACGGCAAGTTGCACCAACGTTCTAGAATTATGTCTAATGGTGTGCTTGAAAATTTTCATTTTCTTCACCAGGTCTCTTTTTCTGTGTTCGTGTTGTTCATTTTCTAGTTGTGGATACTGTTGTTGCTGTTGCTGATGTGGTTGTTGCTGCTGCTGATGATGTGGTTGCTGCTGCTGCTGTTGATGTTGTGTCAACTTCAGCTCTGATCTATGTAATTGCCGGAAAAGTTCATGTTGTTGCAAGTGTTCCCCATTGTTCGATACCGTTGTTGGATTTTTGGTGGAGAAATTGGTTTGAAAGTTGTTTTCCACACTAACATTTTTATTGTTTGTTCCACGTTTCTCGCGTTTTTTAAATATTACCGGAAAACAAAGGTATGCTGGCACGCAGCAAGCTGGTGCAACGTTGCTGACGATGGAGAGGTTGTTAATGTTTGTCTGCTTGTTTTTCTTACAAAAACGAACTGACCCCTCAACGACAATGCTGGAGTTCTTAATTGCAAATGTTTGTTCATCGCCGTCAAGATGATTGTCACCCTTACTGTGAGGAATGTTGTATCGAAGCCCTTCATCATTGTCTGGGTGACCTCGGTCGACCTCTAGAACATTTTTCTCACCATTTTGCGTAATTGCAACATTCTCTGCAGAACCGTCGCGAGCGATCGTGCTATGAAGTGGATAGTTGAAAGTGCTGTGAAGGAGAATGTTCATCATGCTGTGCTCCATGCGTTGTTAAATGTCACGTGATCGTGAATACCGTAACTGTTGTTGCTAATTTCACTAACATCATTAATATTAATGTCTGCATCGTTGTGGCAGTTGTTGCTGTCGTTGTTGTTATTGTTGATGGTGTTGTTATTGTTGTTAATATTTGCAGTACAATCGTGAGTTTTCATGATGACGACGTCGTTGTGTGACAAGTCAACACCTTCCATATCTACCAACGTAACGTGCATATTTCTGTACTGAGCTTCCAACATGTTGGTCTTTTGGTCTTTGTTGTTTATGTAATTTTTGTGGTAACTGCCAACGTTACCTGTGTAATAATTCTTCCGAAGTTTAGTGGCAACTCTCAATGGATCATTTCGGGAAAATTGTTTGTACCACTTCTTAGCATTTGTATTCTTATGAAATGATTGCAGTTTATTTTTTTCATCATATTCTTCCTTAAAAGTCCACATTTCTTGCGAGAAATCCCCTCTTGAATAAGTTAGTGAGTTGCTTGTTGGAGTTTTGCTGCTTTTTTCGTTGTATGCATTGTAAAGACTGTTGTTGACGAGAAATGCATCACTATGCTGACGTGAATCGCCGCCAGCTATCCTGAAACTTGTCGCTACACTGCTGCCGACTAACAAAGTTGAGATTTCGTCTAAATTGTTGTCGTTGGTGCAAATGCTGCTAGGTTTCTTGTTATTTGCGTCGTTTATAATTTCATTTCTATTGTTACTTTTCTTCAAATCTTCCTTAGTTGTTTTTTTGTTGAAAAATTGGTTGATTGTTTCTTTTTCTACAAGTTTAACATTTTTCTTTCCAACATTTGACATGCAAACTTCACTCTCCAGTGACGCCATGGTGACTCCGAATTTTCAAAGCTCTAACGCGTTGATTAAAATTTTCATGTAGGAACAGTCAACGTGTTCTCAACAATTTCTATGATTTCATTCATTAGACGTCTTTTTATAGACTGGGAGGCGCATCGTCTTAACAAGAGCACATGATTGTAACTTTGCTGTAAGTTGGAGTATCTCAAAGTGATGATCAACAGATGATGTTTGGACGCGCGTCAAACAAATCAAACGAATAACAATAGGATTAGTGGGAAGGAACATTAAAAATAATCTTATTAGGCAACAACTATGATTATGTTACTTTCAGAGTAACGCATTAATCTTGTTATGTAATTACGATTCAAACGATTATTCAAAATTCTTCCTTATATGTACCAACATTACGCATTATGATCGTTTGACATCCAAAACTATGTTTAAGACGTTTTATATCAATTCAAATTATATTTTTTTATATATCTGAGTAATCTCATGGATTTAGTATCAGATATAAAAATAGGTTTGTGTAGGCTAATTGCAAAATAGCCGCCCCAAAATGCAACCAAATTTTTCATGAAGGGATGTTAATATTACTAAACTGAACATAAAATTATGAACATAACTCCGTTGAAAAAACCCATTTGACAACGAAACGTAAACGTGCAATCGATCGGAACTCATTCGTTTATTTACCTGTTGTTATCATATTTATTTAGATTCGTGGAATTACCAACCGAAGAATGTCATGTTAACTCCCGTAGGCTCTCATGTTTGGCTGCCTTCCTCTGTTTGAATGAAAATTGTGATAAGCACGTTTATTATTGCCAATACAATTTTGTTATTAAACGTTGGCGTTTTTCTTTAAACTTCAAAATGAAATAAAACATTCTTTATCTAATTAATTTTATCAGTTTATTCCTTACAACGTAATTTATTTTAAAATAGAAGCCTGTTAACCCTGTAAACAAAATAATGCATAATTTTCATAAAGTTCATTGCAGGAAATTCAATGAAAAATTGACATATTTTATTGGTGAATTTTACTTTTATATTAACTTTCATTTACCATTTTATAGCCATCAACAATAACACAAGTGGAATAATTTCAAAATAATTATAGTTATACATGAATGGAGTAACAGAGAAAATGTTTGATTCTTGAATTATTCATCAATTGTTGAACTGCATAATCAATGACCTATTTATTACCAAGTTATTTTATATCTAATTATTGATTTTGTTAATCAAATTTCAGCATATACTCTTTATCCTATAGTTCAAATAGGAACAATATGAATAACTTTTTATAAAAACAAATATAATGAATAAATAATCACTGAAAATTTTGGCAAGTTTTTACTCATAGCAATTTTAATTCATTTCAATAATGGTATCTGCTTTGAAAAAGTTACAGTTACATAGTTGGTGCTCTATCTGCTTACTCATTACTATCGATTCTTATATGGCTTGGAGACCATACAAAAATTAAATTTTTGTTATTCAAAAGGTTGCTGATTTTCATTACAATTTGCACTAACAATGGATCTTCTTGTTTGTACTGTTGTATGGCTAATGGGCTTGATGAAGAATCAGTAAAAATTAGAATTGTTATGATTATTTTGTATATAACCCAGGGCCCTCTTTATCGCAAGTAATTTTGCTCTAAAAATTGGAGCTGTGTAGGGCAAATGTTGTAGAAGTGCATGCTGAATAGCTAGTTGAATAACGTATTTGTGAACCATCTGTGTAAATTTGGATGAAGTCTTCATGTTTCTTTAATGTCGTTAAATATAATTTTATTGCTTTATTTTTGTTTTTAGTGACACTTGTATAATGGATGTGTCAATAGGTGGGTTGTTTAATTCCCCGGACGCAATTGTAAATATGGTTTCAGGCATTAATTTTTTTATCTGATATTTGTAAATGCTCTTTCAATATTATATGCATAGGACATATTGATGGCGATCTTGATGTGTTTCTGGGATATTGTTGTAGATGTTGCTGTAACAGATTTACCATTTTATAGCCATCTGTGATTATTTGTATTAAAGTTTCTACATAATTGTTTATTAATAATTTTTGACGTCTTAAATTTACTGTCATTTCTTTTGTATGATAACTTGATGAAGGTGATGTTCTCTTTATGCTCCTAATATTCTTCTTATTATTATTCTTCTAATATTTATTATTGATTTGAAAGTGTTGAAGCATGTTTTACTTCATGTTTCTTTAATGTCGTTAAATATAATTTTATTGCTTTATTTTTGTTTTTAGTGACACTTGTATAATGGATGTGTCAATAGGTGGGTTGTTTAATTCCCCGGACGCAATTGTAAATATGGTTTTTTTTTTTCACAAGTTTATTTCAATCAAATAATGAAAGAAAAAGGTGCAACCTTAGCAATGAATGCTATATTAATGGTGACCTTAACTAAGATGATAGCCCAAAGTATAATGTCAGTCATATTGGAAAACAAAAATGAAAATTGAACAATTAATTAGATTAAATAAGAAACCGTGAAAAATAATAATGTCAACCCGAAATTAGAAAAGGAAAATTAATTAATAATAAGAAAAATAAATGAAATCATGAGAAACAACAAAAAAAACCTTCAATTGTTTTTTAAACTTATTAAAAGTGTCAATTTTTTTTAAATAATTGGGAAGATCATTCCATAATTTTGGCGCATAAAAACAGAATATTCTGGAACTTCGCTTGTTAGTAGCTACTAATTTCCTTGAATGAGACTTCACTAATGACTCTAGTAGATCTTGGAACCTGGATTGAATTTAAGACAATCGATGCGATATCACCCTTAGTTGATATTCCCTTTATCACTTTAAATAAAAAACAGCAGGCCTTATAGCAATTTATTTCATACACAGAAAGAAGCCGATTTATCAGAAAATTATCACGGATGTCATTTGGTCTTTTAGAATAAAAAAGTGCTTTAACACATTTTTTTTGGCAAACGAATAGTTCCTGTATACAAGTTTTATTTGCATTTCCCCAAATAAGATTGCAGTAAAACAAATGACTTTGAACAAAAGAGAAATAGAAGACTTTCCTCGAGTTATTGTTTAAGTATGTGCTAATGCGATGAACCAAGCCTAAAGTTATATTAATTTTGCTAATGACTGCTTTAACATGGTGTTTGAAATTTAATCAAGAGTCAATAACAACTCCTAATAACTTGAATTGATCTACAAATTCCAGTGAATTACCATTTATTTCCAATTGCATATTGTCAGTTTGAATATTTTTATTTTTTGAAAAAATCATATACTTAGTTTTTTTAAGGTTAATGTTTAGTCTATTTAATAACGATCATTTATATAATGCATTAAGAAGATTTGTTGCTGAGTCCCTTAGTGAGTCAACATGTGTCTCACTAGTATAAAAAGTGCAATCGTCAGCAAATATAACCGAAGGACACTTGTGAATATGCACAATATCATTAATAAACAACGAGAACAACAATGGTCCAAGGATACTACCTTGCGGCACACCTCTTGTAACCAGAGTTGTTTTTGAATTAGTTCCAGCAATATCGACATACTGATATCTGGAATCCAAATATGATTTCAACAAAACTGATAAATTACCATTGAAACCATAGCCTATGACCTTATCAATCAATAGATGATGATCGATTGAGTCAAAGGCTTTTGAGAAATCGACAAAGACAGCGAGAGCCAACGATGAATTATTTAGATATGAATTAATATCATTTACAAACTTAAGAAGGGCATCTTCTGTAGATAAGCCACTTCTAAACCCAAATTGACAATCGCTCAAAATATTATTTTCCTTAATGTATATATCCATTTTTTGTTTAATAATTTTTTCATATAATTTAGAGAGGCAAGGTATAATGCTAATAGGCCTGTAATTTGACATATCTGATTTGGAACCCGACTTATGAATAGGAATAATTTTTGAAATTTTAAGAGAATTTGGAAATAAGCATTGCTCAATTGATCTATTATATAAAATTGTTAAAATGGGAGAGATAGAATGTATAATAAATTTGAGGATTTTGTTTGATAAATTGTAATGATCAAGTGCACCCGAGTTTGATAAGGACTTACAATGATGAATTATTTCCTTTGGGTTTGTGGGATCTAAAACAAAAAGGGAGTTGATATGGGATATATATGTCGAATTCACTGCATTATCATGAGTGATCATGGAAGCTAGATTGGAAAAATAATCATTAAAGCAGTTTGCAATCTGTTTGGGATTATCCATGATTTTATTATTTACAAGGATAGGATAGTGAAGTTTACCTTTTTGTTTGTTTATCAGTGATTTGATAATTTTCCAAGTGGTCTTAGTATCACCAATATATGATTTGAAAAGGTTTTCATAGTATTTTTTTTTTGTTAAATTTGATGTTGTTATTTACCATATTTCTCATCTTTTTATATTTTTCATAAAAATTAGGATCATGATTTTTTTTATATTTTTTAAATAGTACATCCTGTTTAATGATTTGAGCCTTGATAGCAGGTGTAACCCAGGGTTGGGACATCTTGAATTTTTTACATTTTTTCTGAGTTATAGGACAAAAGATATTGATGTGATATTTCAGAACATCCCAAAAAATTTCAAAAGCCTCATTACAAGCATGCATTGAGGAAATGTAATTCCAATTATATTGAATTAGAGCATTATTTAATCTATGAAGATTTTTTTTTGAAGAATTTTGAAAAGTTATATACTGGTTGGAATTGACAAATTTTTTTGATACCACTTGCGAAAGAAATATCGGATAGTGATCCGATATATCGGTTATAATCGTGCCACTGCAAAATGAGTTTAGCTGGTTAGTAAAAATATTATCGATAATGGAATGGGAAGATTCTGAGATTCTGGAAGGAAGATTATTAGTTATGAAAATAGAAAAGGAAGAAAGTACATCTAAAAATTTGATTGCATTAGGAGAAAAAGTTTTAAGATCAATATTAAAATCGCCCATGATGTAAATATGTTTATTTTCAGATATTGCAATGTCAAGAATGGAATTCAACCCACCAAATAGAATATCAACATGAATGTTTGGGGGTCTGTAGACATTTATTATTAAATAATTTTTTCTATATGACTTTATCTCAATAGCATCAATTTGTATATCTTTATTAATTTGTAAGTCAAACCTGTGAATGTAGTTGAGATCTTTGTGAATACAAAAAGCCAAACCACCACCTTGCTTTATTTCTCTATTCAATAATATAATATCATAATTATTAATTGAGGCCAATTGAGAATTACATGAATTTAACCAAGTTTCAGTGAGAGAGATTACATCATATTTAATATTGCAAGTTTCAATAAACTCTTCAAAACAGTCTAATTTGTTTAACAAGCTTTGACAATTGAAACATAATAAATTCAAGATGTTACCATCTGAAGGTAAGAACTTGGATATGTGAGCATTCAGATTAACTGGAAGGATGGATGTGCTAACATGCAAAGAATCAATATATTTATTAAATATTTGTAATAATTGTGCATTATCACAATCAAAAAATTTGTTTAAATAATCAAACAAAAAATCACAACTGGTTGAGGCAGAATTAAACATCTTAGTATAAGATGAATTATGTTTCAGACATTAATTTTTTTATCTGATATTTGTAGATGCTCTTTCAATATTATATGCATAGGACATATTGATGGCGATCTTGATGTGTTTCTGGGATATTGTTGTAGATGTTGCTGTAACAGATTTACCATTTTATAGCCATCTGTGATTATTTGTATTAAAGTTTCTACATGATTGTTTATTAATAATTTTTGACGTCTTAAATTTACTGTCATTTCTTTTGTATGATAACTTGATGAAGGTGATGTTCTCTATATGCTCCTAATATTCTTCTTCTTATTATTCTTCTAATATTTATTATTGATTTCAAAGTGTTGAAGCATGTTTTACTTTACTTTTTTTGCTTTGACATCCATAATCTAAAATTGATCTGACTGTTGTTCTATAAGTTAGTAATATAATTTTTTCATATGATTCCTAGTAGAAATTAAATAATCACTTTATTAATTTTAAAGTTTTAAAACATTTTGATCTTATTTTGCTGATGTGGCTTTTGAAAACTAATTGTTGATCAATTGTTACACCCAGAAATTTGTATTCTTATTCATACATTATCAGGATTGTTTGACAGAACCAGTTAGGATGCTGTTTATAGCGTTTTTTGTGAAAATAACATTGTTTATGTTTTTTTGAGTGAAAATTTTGAAATTTATTGAAAAAAGCATGGGCCGAAAAAAGTACGTTAATTAATATTACAATAAAATTAAAAAAGTAAGATATACAAATAAAACGATTAGTACACAGTGTTTAATATGCAAGGCTGTGACAAAACAGTGTTTTTAAAAACAAGACAAGACGAGACCGAGATTTTCAAAAAGCATGCTCGAGACATCAGAGGACAAGGAATTCGAGACAAAAACGAAACCAACACGAAGACGTCAAAATTTTAAAAAAAGTTATCATTACCCATACCCAATATATCAAAAGATAAAGCCTTTTTAGAACCAAACCATATCAATTCCGTCTTGTCTGGTTAAGCTTCAAACGATTCAATTTTAACTAATTGTTCACATCGATAATACATATTTATACTTATATTTATATTAGACAGAAAAAAGGCACCAAATAATCCATGAATTTTATTAAAATTTTAGTAAGGGATCCGATCCAAGACACACACTGTTGTTTTAGATCTAACAAATGCTGATTTAACCTCATCTTACGTACACATTAACAATTCTTTGTTAATTCCAGTGATTTTTGGTACAATGTGACCTACGTATAAATTTTCACTCTGAATGATATCAATTGCAGTTACTATCGGCTTCATGAAAAAACGAGAAAAAACATCAAAAAACTAAATTCATTTTCTGTAAATAAAGCTTGTCCTAATTCTTTCTGACAACTACACATTTTGTCGAATCCTATGTCAACAACTCTTTCTACTGCGTAAAATTCTGAACACCGCCTTGTAACATTTGGTTTAATAAATGTAGAACCAGTAATGTCTTGTACAATATCAGCATTTTGAGTACTTCAATGTACAGAGTTTGACAATGATGTCACCTTTGCTATGGCTTTCAGTGCACCTACACTTGCTACCAGATTCAAATTGTGATTACTACCACATCGCTTGTGCGGAAAAAAAAGAGAACATCATCAGAATCATCCGCATCAATTTGTTCTACCTCCATTAAATCGGTAATATTTGTTTTTAATAATATGTCATTTTCGTAAATATCTTCTATGTCACTGTCACCTTCTGTAGTATTTTAAATGATACCTGAGAAAATGCTTTTACAAAATTTGCAGTAAAATTTTTATCGTCGTCTCTCTTTAAAATTGCGTCAATAAAGCACAATTTAATAATTTGAGTAATCATATTAAATAATTAATCAAACGCAAATTATCTGCATCTCGTACACAAAAAACCTCAAAGAGAAACGGCGCAGACTCGGAAACCAATAAACAAATTTGAAAATAGGGATGTGCAATTAAAAAGATAAACATTAATTCTGAAATAAAAATATGTTCAAGTAGTTAAAAAATAGTTAACTACAATAGTTACTAACTACTTAAAAATAGTTAACTAGTAGTTAACAACTATTCAAAATAAAATAGTTATTAACTACTTTTTAACTACTATTTAGTAGTTATTAACTACTAGTTAACTATTTGTAGTTAGTAACTACCCATCACTGGGTTTATATATCGGTGCAACTGTTGCCTCGTACCAAATTTGTAATAATTTTTCAATGCACTATTTAGATAATTTTTTCAAAATGTCATAAGTTATTTCATCTGGACCCGGTGTTGAATCATTGCTGTTTGTTATTTCGTAAATTAGTTCTTTCATATAATTAAAACATGATACACACACGTCTGAAATCATTTTTAACTTGTGATCACTTTTAAGTGCGCTTAAATTAAATTTGGATAAAAACGGATTCAATTTTAAATTTAAGTTTTAATTTAAAACAGAAATTTCAAGTTATGAACAAATGATCCGATTGGGGAAATTTATTTTTTGATTAGATTTGTTTGTTTTTTTTAATAATACATGATTTCTTAAATGAAATAATCATTTTATATTTTTTTTTTTACAAAACTTTCAAGGTTTCAACTTTCTAGTAATAATAGTATTATTATTTATTTATTATTTTATGTTTATAATAATTATTTTATTATAAAATATAAATTATAATATTTTTGTAATTATTTATTATATCATCTAGCATCTCTAGCTTATTTTTATTTATTTAAAATTTAATATTCAATTTTTCATATAATCAATATATATAACATTTATTTATAATATAATACATAAAATAAATATATTGATGATATAATTATAATATATTAATTATGTATTTTTTATTTATAATATTAATCAATTTTTAAATTCAATTACAATTATCATATTTCAATCAGAATTCATGTACAAACAAATATTTACTTACAGGCTTTAAATGAATTGGCTGAGGTCAGATCTATTCAGCACATATTCTTACATCGTAATGTTTGTAATGTGTTTTTTTTTGTATAAATTTAGTTTAATAATCCGTTTAAAAAATTTATTGTTATATATAATTGTTTTGCTTTCATAGTCAACAATTTAAACTGAAATAACAAGAAGATGAAGAAGAAATTGAGAAGTGAACAAATTAAGGCAATGCTCATCAAGAACTTGCACATTGCTGTATCAAACAAGGTAACAAACATGTATCAAACAAGATAACAAACATGTATCAAACGAGGTAACAAACATGTGTCAAACAAGATAACAAACATGTGTCAAACAAGATAACAAACATGTATCAAACAAGGTAACAAACATGTATCAAACAAAAGCATGTATCAAACAAGATAACAAACATGTATCAAACAAGATACAAACATGTATCAAACAAGATAACAAACATGTATCAAACAAGATAACAAACATGTATCAAACAAGACATAGGCGTAGCCAGGAATTTATTTCGAGGGGGTTTTGAAAAAAGTAAAAAAAAAACAAAAACCGTAAATTTTTATTTTATTCAAATGTTATTATATACTTTCGGCGCAATATACATATGTGTGTGCGTGTGTGTGTAAATCAACGTTAAATCTACTTTTTCAATTTGAAAATTAAATTAAATTTATAACAAAATGTTTCGTTTTTTCATTGCAAATATATCAACAATATGCTTGGTATCTAAATTAACATTATAATGAATGTTCATTAGAGCCAGGCCATTCAATCAATTTTCTGACGTTGTGTTTCTAAGATAGGTTTTCGGTCTTTTTAGACTTGAGAATGTTCTTTCAGGAGTAGCGGTAGAAACGGGCAAAGTTGCCAAAATATGTAGCAATGTGTAGATGTTTGGGTATAAAATTTTATCGCACAGATCCAAACATTCCAAAGCAGATTTAGGTTTGGTGGAGGTAAAGCTAGCTTTCCATACCTGACATTCAGATAAAATTAAATGTTTATTTGTTTCCGGCAGCAATGATAAATATAATTTAATCAACTCACCCAGACATGTTTCTGACATTGTGTCTAAATTTTGAGGTAATAAGCTTGTCAGTGCCATTATAGATTTTCTATGTTTTTCAAACCTTTCATTTAACTGTGTGATTGTATGGTCTAAGAAAGGAATAAAAAAATTGATTCTGTAATATGAAATAACATCCTCTGCGTGGCATCTTCAGATTACCTCCATTATCTTCTAGCAATTTTTTTGCTTCATCACAAAGAATGGTAAACTCGTTATCAGCATTGTTTCTTAAAATGCCTAAAACTCATAAAATATTTTCGACATGTAAGCATGCCTTAGCAAGGTCTGTGTCAGTTGCTTGTAATTGCTTAGAAAGTGGCAATGTGTACCCCATGATTTTTTCCAACACTAGTAAGCATACAACAAAATCAGAAGTACGGAGAGTATTCATGAGTTGGACTGCTTGATGAGAGGTTTCTTTATTGTGATGATTTTGTAGTTCATTAAGAGCAGCCATTATCGCTGGATAAATTTCCTTAAAACGTATGACGGCTTCATGTTTGTGTACCCACCTTGTTTCACTTATAGCAAGTAAACTTTTTTGGTGGTTTGCTGGTAATGTCAAAACTTTGCATATATTATCTTTTAATACAGCAGTTCGCTGAGGAGAATACTTGAAAAAATTACCAACTGCTTGTACAATACCTACACAGTTTCGGATTTCTGACCGTGAGCATGAATCTGCAATGGCAAGGTTAAGAGAATGTGCGCTGCAGTGTACATATAAAGCATGTTTGCATTCTTTTCTAACATATGCTTGAGCACCGTGCAAATGTCCACTCATTGATGCAGCCCCGTCATAACCTTGTCCAACCATGTGAGAAAGCTCCAGACCATTACTTTTAATATTATTAAGAATAACATTAGCTAATCCAATCCCAGTGACATCGGTAACTGGTATATATCCAAGAAACATTTCCTTGATATCGTGGTGCTTGGCATCACCAGAATCAACAACATAACGCAGACAAAATGACATTTGCTCAACATTTGGTAGTTTTCATTTCATTTGGTTGCTCAATATCGGTAGTTTCATCTGCTAAAACGGCAAAAAATTAGCTTTTTTAACTTCCTTGATTATCACTTCTTGGATAGCCGCACCACAAATCTCTATAATTTCATTTTGAATTTGCGGACTTGTATAAAAAGCATTATTTGAAGCATTTAATAAATGTTCAGATAAGATTTTATCTCCAGATTCAGCACCATATTTTAATATGGCACGAAAGTTGTCCTCATTAAGTAATGATTCTTTTGGTTCTGAAGAAGTCTGTATTCTTCCTGAGTCAGATTTTCCCCTCAATGGTATGCCTTGTTTTCCACATAAAATGATTGCTTTCACTATTGATGTCAGTTTGCTTTTATTCTCTTCTTGTTGCCGTTTTTTTTCTGAATTTATTTGATCAACTACGGATAACGTTTTTAAAGACATCACTTTAAAAAAATTGTCTGCTAGTTCAGAATTTCTCTTATGATAAGAGGTTTGTGAGTGTGCTTTAAAAATTTCAAGTGCGTCTTTCCACTTGCAAAAAGGTTCGGATATAAGTTTACCTACATGCTGATGACTTCCTTTTTCGATCTACCCATAATGACGCAAATTCTGCAAAATGCTCCAGTATTTACTTCTGAATATGTAATCCAAGGAAATCGATTTATCCAGCTAAGTTGAAATCTCAGATCTCGTTTAGTAGAAGCTGGAAATTCATAATATTTAGATGGCACCTAAGGTTCTTTTAAAATTTGAAGTTTAAGAGAATCGTCCATATCTTTATTACAATACAAACCAATGTCTAATTTAGCTGCAATTACGTGGGGCTCATCTTTAGAATCAGAAACAGATTCTGCTTCTATAACAGACTTTGATGGTGAAATATGATCTGTTGCTACAGTTGATGTTGAAGGTATTTCAATAGTAGTAGCTACTCGATCACACCATTTTTTCCAGTATATCATGTTGCTCCCACAGTTATCACCTTTTCTTTTTTTGTTTTCTTCCATGTCTCTTGAACAATAATAATAATTATTGCATAAATTAATATAGAAAAGTGAGAAAATATGAGTTTTATTAACTTTTGTAACTTCGGTCTAGCTGTTCAAATTTTAAAATGCTTAATGGGGCCGTCCGTAAAGTAAAAGGAAGAAATCCCATTGGAAGAAAAATAATTATTTGTGACTTAAAAAAATCGTGGCTACGCGGTTATTCTTCGAATAATCTCAATTTAATCTAAAATAAAATTTATTTGAGATTACATTGAAAACACCGATTAAAATGATATTTCTTACTTCACTTTGCGATTTTACAGAAAAAACGTGACATTCTTTCTTCACGGACAGTTCCAATTAAAAATATTTTATCAAACACATTATAAAAATATTTCTTATGGTTATTTTCAAGACAAATTTATGAATTGTAAAAGTAAGTTAAAAACGATTTAAATTACCTGCGAATCAATAACAATTGAATTTTGATCGAATCAGATATATTTATTTCGTCACTACGCAACACAACCGTCATCAAAAAGGAAACACCGGAACTACAAACAACGATCTACTCATTAATTTTTTTATTACCAAAGACAAAAGTTAACTATTACTAATATTTGACAAATATCGTGAACGGATCGTTAAAAATTTGCAATTTTAATTTTCATGGTAATTTTTAATAATTTTTAATTTATTGCAACATACACTTTTTTTCACCCCAACCACCCCCCCCCCCCCCTCTAGCTACGCCTATGAAACAAGATATCAAGCATGTATCAAACAAGATAACAAACATGTATCAAACAAGATAACAAACATGTACCAAGCAAGATAACAAACATGTGCCTAATAACTATACTTGTAAACAATTAAAATATTTCATAAACATTTTTATAATTTTGGTGATATTATTAAATAATATGTTTTGTTTTTTTTTCACAATTAGCAATTTATTTATTTTAATACATTTAATTATGATAAAATGTAACCCACTGACTGCCTTATATTTAAAGCTTGAATGAACATAATTGGAAGGATGTAAACATTTTGTTCAAAGTTTTGTATAGAGAATACTTGTTATATGTAATGTTATCAATTTACTGTGCATCAGTTTTTTATCTTTGTTTGGCTTGTATGAATGAATGAATAATTGGCAGAGAATTCTCGTGGTAGACATCTTGCTGCCTGTCATAACAGTCGGCTCCGTATACTTGTCTGTCAGCCAGCACGCTGACTCGAGGCACCTCGATGTGAACGACAACTGTTAGACCTGCATGCATTATTTTTAATCATTATTTATATTTTGATTTGATTTAATTTATTTATCTGAATCTGGTTTGATTTCTTCAATTCAATGAGGAGTTAATTATTTTTAAAAAGTCATAATTTGTACTTTATTTTTGTATTGTTTGCCAAAAATTGATTGAAATATTTTGAATTATACATATTAGGGTGGAGCTTATTTTTTAAGTTTTGAAATATCACCTTCTTACCCCTTGATTTTTTTTTGTTCACATGAAGAAAACATTCAGACAAAATCTCAGTTTCATATATCAATATTTACTGGTAGCTCAACTGCACTGAAAATTTGAATGTATATCAGCTGTTAAGGCTTTTGCATATAGAACCCATAGTAGGCGTATGTACTACTTTGCAGTATTTTGTAATCGGCTGAACACTGGTTACATAACTAAATCGCATGATTACTATTACATGCTAAATAAAGCTTGCTTACATTATCAATGATGCATAATGGAGACAAGATATCAGGGACAGTATCATTGTTTTTGAAAAGAGATATCTGGCAGAGAGTCAGCCAAGAGATGATCACAGAAAATTCTTGTAGCTAGTTGTCAAGAGGAATCCGATTCCATGCACCATGTACTATTGCTGAAGGACTTGTAAGATTGTTTCCTGGTGAAGGTTTTCTATGAGGGTCGTTTGGAGGCAGCCAGTTATTGTGCGTGAGGCAGAGTTTTGGGCGATTTTAATTTTTGAAGGTTGGTATAAAAGATGTTGGGCCACCAGCTAGATGGGTGTTGCGTGGTTGATTGCTTGTGGTCGGCAGGTTGCTTTTTATATGATAAGGAGCGTTTTTTGTCGTTTAATTGTTGACAGTCAAAGATTTGAGGGTTTTGTTCCTTTGTTGGTATTTTTTTGATATTGTTTGTAAATGTTTGTTGAATGTGAGAAAAGGTGTCAAAGTTGATGCCGAGTAATTTGGGGTGTTTATCGAGTGACAAGTTTTTGTGTGTGGACTGCCAATTTTGTGGTTGAGAGTGAGATGACCGATTGTTGAAAAAGAAGGTTAGGTTTACAAGGTCTTTATTGAGGGTGGTTGTAATTGGTTCTATGAGTGGTCCGAAAGATGAGACCGGGAAGTCATCTGCCTAGCTAATTAACTTAATATTGGGTGGAGGTCAGGTATGTTACTGATGTAAGCCTTGAAGAAAGCTGGCGGGATACCCTGTGCGGTTGAGATGGTGTTGCAATAGAGTTTTCAATTGGCGGTTATGTAGGTAGTTAGGTGTTCATAGGATGAGGTAGTCGAAAAACGCATCGTCTACAAAGTTGACCGTTCAGGGATTTTATCGGGACATCTGGATCCAACACAAAACCGAGATTATTCATCAGTGGGTTTTTAAAGTTATCTACCTGGCGGAGTGTGTTAAGTCGATGCTTTCAACGTTTATATTAAACAAATTTTTATATCATACTAAAATCGATAAATATATTTATATGTTTAATTGAAAACTTTATTTGATCTCAAAATGTTTAAAAATGGATTGTAATTAAAAATTTTTTATTATAATTAGTTTACTCAAGTTTGAAGAACAACATCAAATTTAATCCTGCCAATATGTCAACCCTTTTGAAAGGTTTTAGAGACGAATATGCCCTGCCATCTGCCGGCCCATTCCTGTTTGCGAGGAGTATAATCTGTGGCACATTCAATCTCTGCTTCAAGAGCAAGCCAGGATCGACGGAGAGGATGAAGGACAAGGAGGCTGGACCATCTGATAAGCTCTTCCATCTGCTGAAGAGTGACGAGTTAGTTTTTGAGTTTATGTCTGAGCTGATGTGAGCAGGATGTGATGAGGCTAAGTTGAAGATGGTGGTGGTAGGAATGAAAGTGGTGGTCGTGGAGATTGTTGCTGATGGTGGTGGGGTGGATGTTAGTGGGGTTAGGTGGAAGTAAGAATGGGGTAATGAACAAAGTAGACGCTAAAGAATTCACTGATGAACAGGTGAATAAATAATGTTAGATTTCTTGCTTGAAGGTGAGCACGAACAGGTCAAAGCTGAACACTACAGCTGAGATTCTGTCGTTAAAAATGCAAATCAGTTTATGATAATGATATTATTGAAATGCATTCACAATGAAAACGTTTTCCGAACAATGCAGTCATCACAAAAGTTATAAATAACTTTAGGCGTGAAACTGAACAGCACAAAATAAATCATATTTCAAAACAGCTCGATTAGTGTTTCGTGCTATCGCACACACGCGCACGCAAGTACATGCACGCACACATACGCAAACGTGCACGTACACACAGGCATTATAATGCAGCACTAAATCTAATGATGCACTGCACACAGATCAAAGGCGATAAACGAGGAGATAGAGGGCATGCTGAAGAATGTTCTGTCAGACATCGACATCGTGTCCTTCCTGAACGATGCCAGATCATATGCCAGCACATTGCCGACCTTGCTTCAAAAATGTTCGTTTGAAAACATTTAGAACCCCTTTAAATTGTTAACTGTTTTTTTAGGAAGTTTACAATGTTTAGCATTCTCTGAGACATGCGAGTTGCACAAGTTGTTCGGTTTTATTCAGATTGTCGGAGTCGGTCGGAGTCGAAGTATTTTAAGGGGCCGGATTCGAATTCTTGTATCCGACTCTGTAAATGTTATTTATTTAAAAAAAATTTTTTTCTGAAAGTTTGTTTTAAGATCGTGTTTTTAGAGGATAAATATATAGCGACATATATTTTTTTAAGACAGTGTGTCACATCCGTCACACTGACACTGGCTTTACTTCATGCTGATTTTTCTTTTTTTTCCTTCCTATCATCGTAATTATTTTTTATCAATTTATCTATCGCCTCAGTCCTTTCAGAATGACTTACATCCACCTTTCTACAAACAGAGCAGCCGCCTGCTGCGTGCACGTGCCACCACTTACACTATTTTCAATTTTTTCTTCTTACTCATCATCATCGTCACCATCATCATCGCCATCATCACCGTCACCACCACCGCCGCCACCATCATCATCATAATCATCGTCACCAGCACCATAATCATCGTCACCAGCACCATAATCATCGTCACCATCATCATAATTATTGTCACCATCATCATCATCGTCACCATCATCATCATCATCATTGTCGTCGTCGTCGCCATCATCTCTTTCATCCTCTACATCATCGCGCATACTTCTTGTTAAGGTCGGATTAACTTGATGAATGTATGCAAAGAAAAATGCAAGGACGTCCTGAATAAATACCTGGACATCAAATCAGCTAGTAGTTTGCTATCGGACATCAGTGCTCATGGGGTTATTTTCTTGCGTCGTTTAAATACTTGTGTGTGTGTTTGTCCCTTTGAATGTTTGTGTTTGTTTGTATGTCTGTATGTACATTTGTATGTGCTTTTGTTTTTGTATTTAGGACCAGTCGATGAACCAACACACAGGTGTACATGATCCTCAAAAACTTCCACCCCACGTTAGCTTGGGGAGAGCATCACAGAGCTGAAATATGCAACAACACACTTCCATTCTTCTACAACCAAGTATCATACACTACTTATTGCAAAACAGATTCAACGAAGGCAAGATAGATTGATTGCTTGCTTGGTTGATTAATTGATTGCTTGGTTGATCGATTGCTTGGTTGATTGATTGATTGCTTGCTTGGTTGATTGACTGCATGCTTGGTTGATTGATTGCTTGCTTGATGAACTGACACTTACCGATCGACCCACAAACTGACAGATCAATCGATTGATTGATCGTTATTGATTGATAATTTGATCTATTAGTTGGTTGGTTGTTAGGTTATTTGGTTGGTCGATTTATTTAATCTCAATCTTGATGGCTCAATGGTTAAAGGCGCCTAGACTTGCTGTTTAAGTGACTGGGTTCGAATACGAAGAGATCCCCGCCTATCACATTCAATGTATATGATGCGTGGTTTTCACTCGAATTCATATACAGTGTGTGTGTAAGCGCAAAAAAGAGAATGACTTTTAACATTTAACCTTTCGTTCATGTTCCCTCATTAAACTTTCCGTTTATTATTTTCACTGTCACCTCAATAAAATCAACATGGCAAAATGTATTGTATGTATGTATGCATTTTATTGCATTGTCACCTCTGCATTCAACGCTGAGCAGGTTGTAGAATTGTCAAAAGAAATCTATCAGAACATAGATTATGAAGATGTGAAGATTGAGGTATGCTTGTGCACGTCACGTGCAACTTGTGTGTACATCACATGCAACTTGTGTGTACTTAATGTTGAATGTTTCAAAACGCTACTCCGGCATAGTGATAAGAAAGAACAATGTGATGTAACATGTCGCTTTGTGTATTATAGTATTATTTTATATTGAAAAAGAGTAGTGATAACTAGTTTTCGTCATCACGATTGTTATCATCATTTTTTTTCTCAGTATATGCTTTGTTGTTAATAAGAAAATGAACAAATAACAAATAATTTGTTGAATAAATAAAAGGAAATAAAAAGTGCGAATGAACAAATGAATGAATGAAAGAATGAATGAATGAACAAATTGTTTTAGCTTGTACCGTTTCATTAACTTTATTTTTTGTTTCTAGCTCAAGAAATGCCCGAATGTGTTCAATGATGATTTAGCTTCTAAGGTGATGATGGGGTGGTGGTGACTAAGATGAGGATTGTTGAAAGGAGTGTTGATGATAATGTTTATGATGGGGATGATTATGATGTTAGCAATTGTTTAATTTTGATGGTTGCAGCCGTGATGTATGACGATGGTATTGGTGGTGATGATTATTACAAGTTTGGCTGATTTACTCATCACCAACCGTGGCAGCATCATTATCATCATAACGCCTTTGAAGTTCATCCAAAAGATGTTGTATCAATCGCCGTCAGTCGTGTCTCTCCGGAGATCACTGTCGACTTCATTATTATTTTTGTCGCCATTGCAATCTAAATGTACTTATACCGTCATCATCATCATTTTAATAAACTCAATCGTTACCATTATTATCAGATCATGAACATGGTTATCACTAACAATCAGTGTTTGCAAACGGGGCGTCGGTGGGTAATTTCATTTTCAAGTGGGCAGTTGGGCTTTACGGGTTAGGGCGAAAGTTCAAATAGTTGTTAAAAAAAGTGGGTATAATAGGAAGACTGTATACAATCATAGAATATCAAGAAAATTTAGGAAAATAAGCAAAATATAAGATTGATTTAAAAATAAACAGAATCGACAACTTTTTTAAAACAAACGGGGGGTACAAATATTTTTTTTCGTTGTTGTCGGACGCAAAATTTGGAAAACCTCTCTCTAAATTTTTTTCATCCTACTCTGAACATTTATCATAATTTTCCCCATCATCACCGACATCATTATTCTACTTTCTTATATCTTCATCATCACATTCACCGCTATCAACACGCAGGCCGTTCGCTTCCACGAATTTTTTTCAGCGATGAAGGAGACGAAACGAGCTCTGTTGGAATATTTTGACCCAACATCCAAGCTGAAGTGATTTATTGTTGTTGTTGTCGTTATTATTGTTACTAAAGTACCTATTCATAAAGCGCTTTTTTTTTAAATTTCGCCAATGGCTTTGTTCAAGTTTTTTATATTTTCTTGTCGATTTTATTGAAGCGTTTCCTTCAAAGCGGATAGCGGTAAGTTTTGAAAAATTTGAACACGAAACTATTGAATCTATTTCAAAATTAAAATTTATTATGAAAGAAAACGGTAGTAGAACATAATATAACAATGATTTTTATAGTGATTCAAGAAGGCTGAGTCTCTGACAGGACCGCTCTGAAATTTTTTTAATGTCCTTTTTTTGCCAAGTTTTCTTTAAAGTTATTAATTGTTTTTACGCATACTATTTCATTTCCCAGTTTATTCTACTTTTTGACAACTCTGTAGCTGAAAAATAGTTGCTTTATATCCGGTCCGGACCTTTTTCTTATAGATCTTGTTTATGCCGCCTTGTTTTACTGTTCATCCTAAGCTCAAGAAATTTCACTGATTTCAAATTATCCTTCATTGTGATGATTTTGTATGCCTGAATCAAATCTCTTCTAGTTCTTTTTTCTCATGTTGGCAAACAAGAAACCTTTATTCTGTCTTCATATGTCATACTGCGACTCTCCTTTATCATTTTCGTTGCCCTCTTTTGAATTTATAACATTTTTTTATTTTACCAAATCAAATCAAAGAAAACAGAATCACTGAAATGAAATGATCTGGAAACCAAAAAAAATTATTGTTATAACGGTCACCTGTTACTTATTTAATAACATAATCATATTATATCTAACAACGACTCTTTTTTATTATTATTGTTCACAAACACAAAAAAGTAAATATGCACTTGTATCAGTGCCTTAACTATAATAGAATACATAAACAGAAAAAAAATAACTGTGAAACTCATTTACTGACAATATAAACAGAAAGGAAAAGAAAGAAAAATTAAAACTAAAAAATATCAGCTTCTATCAAAGTTTACCAATTGTTTTTGTCTGTCTTTTTTTGTAAATCTGGATTTCAAAGCTGAACACAGTACTCCAACTTAGGTCAGACCAATGCTTTATACGATTTAATTTGACGATCATATCTTTGCTTTTTACTGCTATTTATCATACCCAAAATCTTTTTTGCAGTTTTAGCTGCCTCGCTGCCTTACCATTCCGAGGAATTATCACCCCTAGATCCTTTTCCTCTTCTACAGTTTTTAGTGGTGTGTTTCCAAGTTTGAGTACATTTTACTTTTTGTTCGCTCCCATATGTAAGACTGCACATTTGTTGGTGTTGAATACCATCTGCTAATCCTCAGCCCATTTGCATGCAAATCGCATGCTAGAATTTCAATATCTTCATCGTTGTCAACAGCACATAATTTAGTGTCATCTGCAAATTTTGAAATGTTAGACTGTATTCTATATCAATATCATTAATGTATATTATAAATGGCAAAGGTCCTAATAGAGATCCTTGAGGAATCCCACATGTAACATTGCTCCATTTTGAAAAATTTTCACCAATACTAACTTTTTGCCGTCTATCTTGCAATCCACTTGAGTGTGTTTCCTGTGATTCCACTTGCCTTTAATTTTTGGGCTAAACGTCTATGCGTACCTTATCGAGAGCCTTAGCAATCTCAAAGTACACAATATCCACTGCTTCTTTTTTGTCCAAATTTTCATGAGCCTCTTTAAAAAAAGTCAAGCAAATTTGTTAAACACAAACATTTATCCACAAATCCATGTTGGCTCTTGTACATGATATTATTTTTTGTCAAGTGGTTCACAATTATCTTTTTAATTGTTCTTTCGGGTACTTTGCATACGGTGGATGCTTGTAAAGCTTACCAGTCTATAATTTCCTGGATCGCAACGATCTACTTTTTTGAATAGTGGCACTATGATTGCATTTTTCCGCTCTGGTGGTATTTCACCCGTTGCCAACGATTTATTGAAAAGTTTCAACTGCTTCCGAAATGTCCTTTTTCATATTTTTCAGAAATGCTGGATTGAGGCCTTCGCTTCCGAGACTTTTATCTTCTTATAGTTTTTTGCAGTTCATCGACTATTTGTTGTTTCATAATTGTCACATGGATTGGAGCTTTCGCTTCGGAACTTTTATCTTTTTTTAGTTTTTGCATTTCATCGACTATTTGTTGTTTCATAATTGTCACATCATCCAAGACAAACATTTCATTTCCATTAAAGTTACTGATTGGTTTTGGCAAAGATGTAAAAATCTCCCTTGCAAAAACAGAACTAAAATAAGAGTTAAGTATATCTGATATTTTTTGGTAGTCATCAGTAACGACACCATTCTCAGTTCTAAGGGGGCCTATCCTGTTTTTTTTATTTTTGCCTACTCCTTACGTGGCTGAAAAAAACCTTTACCGTTAATTTTGATGTTATCTGCTAATTTTTTCTCTTAATTTTTAATGGCCTCTCTATTAGCAGAGATGGATTTCTGTCTTTTGTGTTTGTTTTTTAACTGCTGCATTTGAATTCATACTACTGAATTAGCTGGCCTATTATATTTACGGTTTTTAAAATCTTGATATACCTTCCATTCTTTGTATTCAGCTCGTCATTTTTTCTGTACTTTTTCTACTATCCATGACCGCTTCTTTATTGGTCCCTTATACTGCGGAACATATTCCGAAACCAACTTGTTCGCCTTCACGAATAAATCTGAACCTTGTTGCATTCCTACTGCTTCAATTGATTTAGCCAGGTTCAATTCCGGAGTTTAATTTTTATTTGGTCATAGTTTGCTTTGAAATAATTGAACCTATTTCGTTTGTTGTTAATTTGATCTGGTTGTTCCTATTTTAACTAGAGTTTTATAATTTGATGGTCACTGGATAAAATGTGTTCTCCAACTTCTACATTCTGGACAGGAGGATCATTAGATGAGATAACTAAGTCTAGAATATTGCATCCTCTAGCTTGTTCCTCAACATGCTGCCACAGAAAATTATCATTTATATAATCCAACAAACGACTGTCTTGCTGTTTTTCACCTTTTTGATTGTACCAATCTATATGGTAATTAAAATCTTCCATCAAAATAAAAGAATTTTTACTGACCGTGTTCATTAGTTTCTGCTGTCCTCTATCTACCTTTTTGTTTGAGTTCGGCGGTCGATGGTCTCAAAACAATGTGAACAAAGAAAGTTTCGCAAGCTAAAATTTTAAAATTAGTTTTTGTTTAATAACTGGAATGGTAAAAAATTAATAAAGCGCAAAGAACACAAAAAAATTTTTTAGTTTTTAAATTGAATTTTTAGTTTTTGTATTTTTTGACCGGCTATTGTTTTGATCGACACAAGTAACGGACAGTTTTCGAGCTTAGCCATATCAGCTTGGAACTCGAAGCCGAGCCAAATCGATTTCATCGGTTTGGCTTGATTTGATTCGGTCTAAACTTAACACTAAACTAGACTACAATTGAACTAAATCATTAAATTTCAAAATGGTGTGAGTAAAGATTGTTAGAGTTTTCGAGGGAAATACTTAGATCGCCTACAATGTCCTTGAGCATGCCACTCGATATTTTGACAACCATTCGAAATTATTTGAAAAAGAAATTGATGATGACCGAGATTTGAGACCAGTTAAATGATTATGATAACCACGTTAAACAAAGGACAAGAAGCTGTCGAAACACGACTTCGAATCAATGGCGCTTGATTTGAAGGAAATCCTGGGTAGGTATAAGGAAGACTTCGCCACAAGGCCAACATAATCATCTGTAAACTTATTGTTAATTTTTTCAAGTTGTTGAAGAGCTGCAAAACAGTTGACAACATTAAGAAACTTAACTAGCGAAATAAAGCAACGACATAGGCTTTTTTGAAGCATATTTATATATATGTAAATGTATACTCTGTGATTACATTGTATAGTATTTTTGCTTTAAACCAGTCCTATGATTTTAAATAATTCTTCATTGTTACGAAATGCTATAACACTTATTTAGTATTCAAAATAATTTATCCATCCACCTAATCAGCGCTCCAGACGCTATGCATAGGACGCTGTAATAAATAACACATTTTATTATTCATCCATCCATTTATTTATCCATCTGTTTCCTAATTTTTAAAGTAACACATGCATTTCATTTTCAACATTACTTTCACATCAGTGTTACAGTTGTTAACATCATTGTCACAACAAAAAACAATCACATCAACCAGGCCAGTTTCATCAATTACAATAACCACATCAATCACAACAGTCATAACAACCACGACAACCACAACAGCCAACTACTAACCACGACAACCATATCAATCACATCAGGCACAACAATCACAACAATTGCATCAACCATAACACCACATCAGCCAACTGCTAACCACATCAACTCCAATAATCATACCAACCACGTCAACCACATTCAACAGCTACCAACCTCTGGTGCCAACTCAACTCTTCTGTGGTTACACAAACTTACCTAGCTTTAAGAACATGGTGGATAGAGGACGAAGAACAACCCCCTTGAATAGGTATCCAAAGTTCGATAAGTCTGGCAAAGATACTGCTAACGATAATATAAAGAATGAAGATTTTGATGGTAAAGACAAAACTGTTGTTAATGACAATGGTAGTTATGATGCTGAAGATAAAGAATATAATACGTTTGCCAAGAGAATAAATCGCGAGGTAGATGATGATCTACAGGACGGATCTAACAGCTCGGCTACTCCACTGCCCTTTGATAAAGGTTCGTTTGGCTCTGAAATATTTGAAAATAATGATGACAGATTTGATGGTGGATGACTGTTATAATAGTCCTGATTATGACAATAACGAAATCTCTTCCCCGATTTGACATCATCAACGTTTATATATAAATTATCATTTAAAACACTGTTATCCTCGTTAGAGAAGAAACTAACGTCTTTGTCTTTATTATTACCACGTCACTTTAATAATTGTGAGATTGTCATAATTTCATCAAACCGTCATCTCATCACCATCAATATCATCAATATCG